GAGTTCAGGCCCCACGACGGGACCCCCCCCCCCAAAAAAATTACTTAGTATGACTTTGTATGGTAGAAGTCTCCATTTTTTTTCCTGCTCATCATGGGACTTGAACTCAGGGCCTGGGTGCTCAACGCTAGCACTCTATCACTGGAATCCCAGCTCCACTTCCAGCTTTTTTTTACTGTTAATTGGAGATAAGCATCTCCTGGAGCTGAGCCCCAGTGGCTGTTGACTATTGACTGTAATCCTAGCTACTCAGGAGGCTGAGATTTAAGGATCTTGATTCAAAGCCAGCACAGCATAGGCAGGGAAGTCTATGAGACTCTTATCTTCAATTAGCCACCAGAAAACCAGAAGTAGAGCTGGGGCTTAAAGTGGTAGAGTGCTGGCCTTGAGCTAAAGAGCTCAGGGACAGTGCCCAGATCTTGAGATCAACCACAACTGACGGGAGGGGGGGGGGGGGGGCTGGGAAGGTGGCTCAGTGGTAGAGTGCTTGCCCTGTATGCCTGAGGCCCTGGGTTCGATTCCTCAGCACCACATAAGCAAAAAGAAAAAAGCTGGAAGTGGCGCTGTGGCTCAAAGGGTAGAGCTCTAACCTTGAGCTGAAGAGCTGAGGGACAGCGCCCAGGCCCAGAGTTCAGGCCCCATGACCGGACCCCCCCCTCAAAAAAAAGTCTCAGAGGCTTTCTTGCCCCTTCAACCCTCCATCCTCAGATCTCAGCCTTCTGAGTGGACAGGAGTACACACGTGAGCCACTGGTGCCTGGCAGGAAGGTCTCCATTTTAGTTACTGTTTTGTGAGGGGTTATTTTTGTGTCTGTGCCAGTCCTGGGGTTTGAACTCTGGGCTTGGGTATTGTCCCCAAACTCCTTTTTGCTCAAGGCTAGCGCTCTACCACTAGAGCCACAGTGCCACTTTCTGCTTTTTCTGCGATTTAAATGGAGAGAAGAGTCTCCAAGGCTATTGAGGCTGGTTTTGAACCACAATCCTCAGACCTCAGCCTCCTGAGTAGGTAGGGTAACAGGCATGAGCCACCAGCGCCCGGCTAGGTCTCCATTTTTAAAATAAAAACCACAAGCTCCACATGATGGATAGACCTACAGCAAAGTACTCGGGAAGCTGAAGCAGGAGCCTAGCCTGGGCCACACAGTAAAACCTTGTCTCTAAATACATTCATCCATCCATGCATAATATATGTCTCCCTGCAGAGATACCATAACTACATAGATATCCCTGGAGAATCACTGGGATGGGCCAGGCTTGGGTCTGGGCTTCAGCAGTCCCAACATAAGCCTACCTGGAGCAGGGTTTTCAGGTTCTGTTAACTCACCTGGTACTCTAGCTCCAGGAAGACCCACCTGGGGGAAGGTACACCCATAGGCTAAAAGGGATCGGGCAGCTCCTTCCTCCTTTTAGTTCCCTGCTGCCCTCCTTAGCTTTCAAAGGTTATCAAAGCTTTTAACACATTTTACCAAGTGGCCAGAAAATGTCAATCTTCTTTCCCCCACCCCCACCCTCTACCCCCCCCCCCCCCATCTCACCATCTTCACAATACAGCACACTTCTGGTAATTACCCAAATAAGCCATAAGGTTCCCCTCATTTTCTTTTTCTGGAGACAGGATCTTACTATGTAACACAAGCTGGCCTCAAACTCTTGATCCCCCTGCCTCTCAGCCTCTCCACTTTTATACATGGCTTCTAGCGATGCCTATAACCACCCTCACAAGCCTAACAACCTCCTGTTCTCCCACCATCTCTTTCAGGGAGCGCACCTCTAACCTCTCCATGGGCGCCATGATACCAAGTAGTGACATCCTACTACCACCTCCCAGCAAGTCCACTTCACCTCCCAGCCTTTTTAGCCATTCCTAATTCCTGATCCAGAGAAAAGGAACCTGATGCTACCCCCTGGGAAGGGAGGTAAGAGAGGAAAGTTGAGGCTACATAAAGTTGAGTTCATCGAAGAGAAGCAGCCACTCACTGGAACTCCTCAGATCTATGAAAACACACTCCCTTTCTCCTCTGATCCAGAACTTCAGGGAAACTGACGTGTTAGGATGAGCAGTAGATTCCTTGGTTTTCTAGACTTGCTCAAGCCAACCTCCAAAGCTGATTGGCAAGAGCCTGCCTGGATCAGCCATGGCACTATACCACACAAATATTAACAAACACACAAAAGACTACTCATTCCTGTAATCCTAGCTACTCAGGAGGCTGAGGTCTGAGGATCGTGGTTCAAAGCAGGAAAGTCTGTGACACTCTTATTATCTCCAATTAACCACCAGAAAACTGGAAGCAGAGCTGTGGCTCAATCAAAATGGTAGAGCACTAGTCTTTTTTTTTTTTTTTTTGTCGGTCGTGGGGCTTGAACTCTGGGCCTGAGTGCTGTCCCTCAGCTCTTCAGCTCAAGGCGAGCGCTCTACTACTTGAGCTACAGCACCACTTCCGGTTTTCTGGTGGTTTATTGGAGATAGGAGTCTCACGGTCTTTCCTGCCAGGGCTGACTTTGAACGGAGATCCTCAGATCTCAGCCTCCTTAGTAGCTAGGATTACATTCGTGAGCCACAGTGCCCGGCTAGAGCACTAGTCTTAAGTGAAAGAGCTCAGGGACAATGTCCAGGCCCTGAGTTCAAGCCCATGACTGGCAAGAAAAATACAAACAAATAATTCTCTGGATAATGACTGTTAGGGACTGAAGAGCTTACTGCCTAGTGGTGCATCTTAACAAAAGGGCAAAGACAAGTCCTTCACCATAATGACAAGGTACCCCCAGCAGAGTTTTTGGCCCACTCTTCAGAAAGCTGATGAGGAGAGGAACTCACACTTGTTCTCACCAGGCCTGAGCAGACACTAGGCGCCAGGAGATCCCAAGGCTACCTTTAAGATCTCCGCTAAAGACAAGCCAGAGCCCCTCTCCAAGTACTTCTCTCAGACTGTGAACCATCAGTGCAGAGCCCATGTAGGCATTACTTTTTTTTTTCCCCCTTGTTTTGGTCCTTGGGCTTGAACTCAAGGCCTAGGCACTCTACCACTGGATCCACAGCTCCACCTCCAGCTACCTTGGGTAGTTAATTGGAGATAAGAGTCTAACAGGCTTTCTTGCCTTGGTTGGCTTGCAGCCTCCTGAATAGCTAGGATTACAGGCAGGAGCCATTAAGTGCCTAGCTACTTTTTAAGGATCCTTTCCTCTCTCCCAAAAGGGCAATTAACGATTTTTTTTAAAGCAGCCAAAAACCTCAAATGCTGCCCCCTCCCCAACTTTAGTGTGGCCACATAGTTTTATTCTTTCAGAAATCCAGGGTGTGGTGGCTCTAGGGGTTGATCGGCTGACCCCCAGGCTTTCCTTTAGGGGGATGTCCTTGCTCAAGTCAACCTGTTAAATAAATGAAAGTGAGGTTTGGGGTCCTTGCCCATAGGAGATACTGCCCTCCTCCAATTTCCACCCAAAGAGAGGTAAGGCAGGCACAGTGCAGACACACCAGCAACCCTACCATTCCCCCATCTCTCAGGAGACACCAAGTAGCCAGGATAGAGTGAGGGTCCCACAAAAGCCAAGCACCTGCAGATACCAAGGTGCCAGGAGGACAAAGCCTATGGGACCTAAAACAAACACAATCACTAATGGACAGATGTGAGGCCCTTCCTCTCCACCTTCGGAATGACAAGTTGTATATACTACTTCCCTTCTTCTTACCCTCAAAACCAGAGATCCAGACATAAGTCGGGAGTCTGTCACGTCATTGGTGGTCTAGGACTGGCAGCAGGTAAGAGCTGGTGTGCTGAGCTCAGCCCAGTAGAGGGTCTTTGTGCCATTCCCTACCAAACCCATAGTACCAGGAGTGGCTAGACACTAGCCCCCACCAGGGAGATCTGTGGTTTCTCCCCAGGCCAAGGGGAAAGGCGCTCAGAATGGATAACTGGCCTTTGGTTTCCTGGGCCAAGAACATGTCAAGGAGGGACAGGAAGGGGTCTCTCAGCCTAGGAGTGACACAGCAGAGGCCAGAGGCGCCTTTCGGAGCTGACAGATCTGCCTTCCGTCTAAGCAATTCTCCGAGCCGGCCTAATTCTTATTCGCTGATGGCTTTTTCATGTTTGGTTTGAGACTGGGACTCGAACTCGGTACCTTGACGCTTTCCCCCTCTGGTTAGCGCTCTACCCACCAAGCCACCCCATCCAAACCCCACCGCCGAAGGGTTTAAAGGCTTTAAACCACCTTCCCTTCTTCCCCCCCCTTCCAGAGTCCTCCCCCACCCATCCCATTCACCCCCGAAGCTGCCGATTCCTTTTGTTCATTCAGCCGGCAGAAAGAGACAGGCAGGATCGAACCCAGGCTAGCTTTTTTTTTTTTTTTCTTTCGGGGTGCTGCCTTAGCTCCCAGGGCAAAAAAAAAAAAACAGCGGCAAAAAAACGAAGCCCTTGAGATGTCTTTCTCCATCTCCTTCCAAACTAAACGCAACTGTGTGCTCACCACGGGCCAAACTTGCAAGTTCTGGAGTGGTCGGGAGAACCGGCCCGCCCCGAGGTGCAGGCCGGCCGGGCCCGGGCCTCCAAGGTCACCGGGAGGGACGGAGGTGGGAAGGCAGGGGAGAAGAAGACACCGCCCCGGCAAGGCGTCACCACGGGGGTCCCGACCACCCCCGCGCACCGCGGGGCCGCGAGCCCGCCACGTTCGCCCCGCAGCCAGATCTGTCTTCCCAGGCGCGGCGCGGGGAGCCCACCTCGGGACGCACGCACGCACGGACAGACAGACGGACGGACGGACGGACGCGAGGCGGCGCGGCCCCTCCTCGAACACCGGGGAGCCCGCGCGGCGGAGCAGCCCGGGCCGCCCGCCGGGCACGCGCTGCTCCTCCCCGGGGGCGAAGGGCAGCGGCGGCGGGAAGGCGGCCGCACCGGCCTCGCGCGTGCTGTGGGGGGGGGGACCGGGGGAACCCCACACGCCCACCTCGGCGTGCGTGCACGTCGGCGAACACCCCCGCCAGCTCCCCGGGGGCTGCACACCCACCTCTTCCTCCAGGCTGCCGCCGGAGCCCGCGCTGGGGCCGAGCTCGCCGTCTGGCTTCAGGCCGCTGCTCATGGTGTGAGTGCGGGCGGAGGGCGGCGGGGAGGGGCGCGGAGGGCGGGCGAGCGCGCGCCGGCCCGGCGTGGGGGGGGTGTGGGGGGGAGGTGGGCAGGAGCACTCGGGAGTGGGTGGGGGGGGTGGTTGTGAGGGAAGGGGGGGGTGGTCACCTCAAGTTGAGCGGGTGCCGGCGGTGGGGAGGGGGTGCGGCGGGGGAGGGGAAGGTGCTGGAAACGCGAGCGGAGCCCGAGCGGCCGCCGCCTCCGCCTTTTCACTGCGACCCGCGAGTGCGGCCGCGGCGGCTGAGGGGAGGGGGGGGCGGGGGAGGAGGGGGCGGAACCCGCCTCAGCTGGGGCCCGGCCGGCCACGCCCCCTCGCCCTCCCGCCTTCAGCCAATCCCCGGCCGCCCACCGCGGGACTCGCCCTGGCCGGGGCGCGCCGGCCGGCCCGCCGCGAGGGCCAGGCCCCTCTCCTCCTCCTCCTTCCCCTCCTCTTCCTCCTCCTCTTCCTCCGCTCGGCCGGTCCCCTCAGAGTTCTATCCGCCTCCATTCTCTCCTCAGCCACCACTTTTTAAACTTTGATGAACTCGCCCCGCGAACTTTTCTTAAAGGAGCCGCCGCCGCCGCCGCGCTGGCCCTGGCCCTGGCCCACGGGAGGGAAGGGGACGCCGGCTGGTGCGGGGCATCTCCGCGCCTCCCTCCCCACCACGGCCCGCCCCCACCCCCACCCCACACAGCGGCCCCGGAATCCGAGGCGTCGAAAACGGGGTTCCCGTGATCGCCTGATCGGAAATCCAGGCGTGTTCGGCGCACCCCCCCACTTCACCTCCAAATTACTCGCCGGCTTTCGGTGCGCGCTGCCCCCGAAACCGGAGCTGCGCAGGGGGTGGGGTGGGGTGGGGGGCCGGGCGGAGGAAGGACGCGGATCTGCGGCGGGGGACCCGGGGGCCGATGACCTAGAGGCTTCTTCGACTCGGCCTCGGGGTGGTTCCGCTGAGTGACCTTGAGGAAATTACTTTTCCTCTTTGACCTCAGGCTCCCAGCCCCGAAGGGAAAGGACCTGGGGACCCGACCGTCCCCGCGCTGAGCCGGGCGCTCGGGGCGGAAACCCGATGGGTTCTGCGCCCTTTGGGCTCTGGACTTCTCTGTGCATCCCCCACCCGCTTCCGCACCGTTCCCCGGTGGACCCCTCTCGGTCCTCCCCTCTTCCAACCCCAGGTGGGGGGGGGGGGAAGGAACAGCAGCCTGGCATCTTGGGTCCCGGGGTCTCGAGGCTCCCACCCTGCGCGTCCCGTCTCGGGTGGGGAGCGCGGCTGCCAAATCCCTTTCCCTCCTGTCCCCCTTGAGATTCCGACCATCAGTGAGGTTCACCTGCGCCCCTGAATTCCTGTGATCTAAGGAAACCAAGGCCCGGCCCATGGCATCATCGTCACTGCGGAGAGGTGAGGGGGAACCTGGGCCAGGCGGGGGGGGGGGGGGGTGTATGGGGGGGGCGGGCGGGGCGCGGGTGTCATCTGCCTGGCCCTTAATTCCTGTCCTCACTACCCGGGGCAAACTGGATCTCAACCCGTGGATTTGGGCTGGAAGCGGCTCCCTGTGGCGGTGGACTTGGAAAAACCTGGTCGGATCTTAGACCTTGGATAGTGATGCCCCCTCTGAGGACCTGTGTGCCCAGCGCCGCCATACTGTAGCATGGCTTTCTCCTCCGTCATTTATCATCTCCATCCTAACCTGGCCATTTCACTGAGACCTAGAGATGGGCGGCGATGGCTTTCCCAAGGAAGGACCCATTCATTTGTTGGGTAAATAATTGTTGAGCTCCTACCCTGGGCTGCAGATCCACACTTACCAATGGCAAGACCACGAGTACCCTAGTTTCCTTTCATCCACACCCGCTCCATTGCCAAGTCTAGGTTTAGCCCTTGCCTCCTGTCAATCAGGGCGCTACCAATCCACAATGCCTGCTTCACTTCACCCAGTTTTCCAGGTACTTCTAACCTCTAGCGCCTCCAGATGGTAACAATCTCTTGAACCCTCGGATACCCCACCATCCTTCACAGGCCTCCGACCCATCTGGCTTAATCACCACGGCTCCCATACTTTACTAAATTGACTTAAAAGGAATTCCCCTTTCTCCCTCCCTTCCCTCAAGATCCTACAGTATCTCTGCTTTTTACTGGCTGAGGAGCTCAGCCTACTTCCTTCCTCTAGGGAGGTGGTTAATTTGCATTTTCAAAGACGGAGGGTTGACTGTGGGTCCTGGGTAGAGCTCCGGTCTCTAGTGCAAGGCCTTGAGTTCTTAACAAAGTACCAAGGAGAGATAAAATGAGCTCTCATCTTGTGATATCCAGTGTACATCTTGTAGATATAGCTGTGTGTGCCCAGACTGTGTGCATGCGTGCACATCAGTCCCGGGGCTTGAACTCAGGACCTGGGTGCTGTCACTGTGCTTTTGTGCTCAAGGCTGGCACTTTACCACTTGAGGTACACACAGTTCCAGTTCCAGCTTTTTTGGTAGTTAATTGTGGAGATGATAGTTTCAAGAACTTTCTGCCCAGGTTGGCTTCAAACCATGATCTTCAGATGTCAGCCTCCTGAGTAGCAAGGATTACAGGCATAAGCCACTGGCACATGGCTTCAATTTTTAATAATTGAGACCCTAAATTCAATCCTCAATACTGAGGGGGGAGGGTGGAAGGGGCCTAACACCAGTGGTTCACCTGTAATTCTCAGGAGGCTGAGATCTGAGGATCGCCATTCGAAGCCAGCCTGGGCAGGAAAGTCCATGAGACCCTCATTTCCAATAAACTACTTCAGAAAAGCCAGAAGTGACCCTGTGGCTCAAGTGGTAGAGCAATAGCCTTGAACAAAAGAAACCTAGATCCTGAGTTCAAGTCCCTGGACTGGCCAAAAAAAAAAAAGGAGGTAATGATTGGCTAGCCTTCCTTTTCCCACCTCTTATTTAACAAATCTTGATATTTGCATTATTTCTGGTTGTGTCTCTTTTGCCTTCATATGCAGTCATTTATATGAGAATCTTTCATATGTGTGCATGTGTGTATCTGTCTGGCCTGGGGCTTGAACTCAAGACCTAGGCACTGTCCCTGAACTTTTGTACCCAAGGCTAGTGCTCTACCACTTGAGCCACAGCTCCACTTCCAGCTTTTCAGTAGTTAGAGATCAAGATCTCACAGACTTTCTTGTCTGGCCTGGCTTCAAACCGACATTCTCAGATCTCAGCCTCTGAGTAGTTAGGATTATAAGCATGAGCCACCGGTACCCAACTTTTTCCTTTTTTGTGTTTCTTTTTTTAGACAGAGTGTTGGTATGTAGTCCAGGCTGGCCTCAGAGACTAGATACTCCTGCCTCCACTTCCTGAGTGCTGGAATTACAGCAATGTAGCATCACATCCAGCTATAAGGATTCCTGTGTCGGTGCCAGCCCTTAATCACTTTGAAGGCAGCTAGCATCTGGTTCTTCTGTGTCCCCCACAACCTCTACAAATGAGAGAATCCCCAAACCTATAGGGATTTGGAAGGGAGAGGGTACACAAAGCTTCTCCCTACTCTTCCTCCCTAAGGGTCATGAGAATCTTCGGGGGTAGTACAGGTAGGACTGGAGACAGGGCAGTGGGTACAACTCAGGCAAGCCTGCTTGGAGCATAGGAATTTTTATCCCAGCTGGGGCCTAGTAGTTTAGCCTCCTGCAATCTCTTCAGAGCTTCTGACTTACCCCCTGCTAAGAACCAAGTCACCAAGTCACATCTAAGTCTCTCTTGTTTCTATTCCCTTTGCCTGGAACTCCCTGACCCCAGCTTACCAACCTTCCTTAGCACCTACTCCTCTTTCTATATGCTCTCAACACTCTTCTCTGTCCTACTTTTGAGCCTGAGAGTTTCTTTTTATTTTTTGTTTTTTGTTTTTTGGTCATCATAGGGCTTGAAGTTGGCCTGGTGCTGTCCCTTGAGCTCTTTTGCTCAAGGCTAATGCTCTACCATATCCGGTTTTCTGGTGATTAATTGGAGATAAGGGTCTCATTGCCTTTCCTGCCTGGGCTAACGTCAAACCACGATCCTCAAATCTCAGCCTCCTGGGTAGCTAGGATTACAGGTGTGAGCCACCTGCTGCTCCCATTTGGGAATACCTTTCTTGGCATCTCCTTCCGCCCCCCCCCCCCCCGCCCCCCCGGCCCCAATTTAGAGACTGGACACTGACCCTGAGCTTTTCCACTCAAGGCTAACACTCTACCACTTGAGCCACAGCTTCACTAACAGCTTTTTTTTGGTGGTTAGTTGGAGATAAGACTTTTTTTTTTTTTGCCACAGCTGGCTTCTAACTGGGATCCTCAGCTCTCAGCCTCCTAAGTAGGTAGAATTTACAGGATAGTTCATGGTCTTTATCTTTTTCTCCTTCCTTTTTTTTTTTTTTTTTTCTTTTTTCTTTTTCTTGTCCTCAGTCATAGGGTCTGAACTCTAGACCTGGGCGCTGTCCCTCAGCTCTTCAGCTCAAAGCTAGTGCTCTACCTCTTAAGCCACAGCGCCACTTCCAGGTATTTTTGCTTATGTGGTGCTGAGGAATTGAACCCAGGGCCTCATGCATGCAAGGCAAGCACTCTACCACTGAGCAGCCTTCCTAGCCCTCCTTCCCTCCTTTTAGTCTGACTTTTTTTCGCGCGTGCGCGCGTGTGTGTGTGTGGGTGTGTGTGTGTGTGTGTGGGTGTGGGTGTGTTTGTATGCAAGTCCAATTCTGGGACTTGAACTCAAGGCCCGGGCACTGTCCCTGAGTTTTGTTTTTCTTGTTTTTGTTGTTGTTTTTAATCAAGGCTAACACTCTATCACCTGAACCACGGCTCCACTTCTAGCTTTTTTGCTGGTTAATTGGAGATAAGTTTCATGGGCTTTCCTGCCTGGGCTGGCTTCAAACCATGATCCTCAGATCTCAGCCTCCTAAGTAGCTTGGATTATAGGTGTGAGCCACTAGTGCCTGACAATGGAGTCTTTAAAAACAAACAAAAAACAGATATTGTACAAAGTGATTTCATT